CAACTAGATCTAAACATTTCCTGACATAAAAAAAGATTTGTAGGCAAAAGCTGCACTTGTCATCGTAAATCACTGGGCTAAGATATCATGCAGTTGGGGTAACTTCAGCCCTAATTCAGCTGAACAGCTCGTGCCCAATTTTCATCACCAGTTGCATCTGTTTTACATTAAGCACATGTTTAAGTAATTTGTTCAATCATACACTCAGTGCCTAATTAACTTGTTCAGACAAACAAGCTGACAGAAACAAAACCGAAGTATGGCATCAGTTATGTTTTTCATTCATCTATATATTAAAGTTTTAATTATTATGATCTTGCTGCAGTAAAATGCTGAACCATAACTTTTACACTCAGCACATGAGATTCTCAACACTGAAGCCAGTAAAATTCCAACCAGTATATTCATGATTGAATTTAATGTAAACCCTCATATTAACTCTTTGCTTACTATCACTCTGAAGCGTCTCAATTTTTTTCCACCTGTGCACTGTCAAAAACCTCAAACAAAACATCCCTGTTTATTTCACAAACCTGTATTCATAGCACACTTCCAGATTAAAAGCCATCTAAGTGTCTCTAGAGACATCTATGCATAGATATTCACACACACTTTCCAGTTAAGAACTCACTAAAAATGGAAGGCCTAAGCATGTTATCTTCAAAGGCAAAAGCAAACTCCCTACTGATATAAATAAGAGAGATATGCCTTAACCACACTTAAATGGTCATAAAAGATTTAGTCTACATACTATTTTTATTGTTATATTTTTATATTGTGGGAATAAAAATTGTAAAGCACATCAATAAAAAGTAATATTATTTTTCTTCATGCCTGGCTGAAGTATAAATCACTCTCTCCAATTCAAGCAAGGAAAAGGAGAGCTGAATTCTCAGAGTTTATTTTAAAAGCAGAATGTACCATGCCTTAACACAGGTGACTAGATCCTTAGAAAAGGATATATTAAAAAAGGCAATTGTTCTGCTGGTAAGGGTATACACCATGTCACTATAAATTGTCCACAAATAAAAATCATTCTCGCCTGTAATTCTTGTCTGCAATTTTAACTACATTAGCAAAGTAAGAATATAATCAAGAAAAGAATAAAACATGACAAATGCATTAGCTTTACTCAACAAAAGCTCCTTTAGTTTAAACAACGGAAGAATTTTTTCTACATAGGTTACACAGACCCACCAGCCCTAAAAAATCCAGGTCAGTATACAACTTGGGTTGTTAGTGTTGGTTGTTAGTGTTGTTAGTCTCCTTCGCTATTCTTCTCCAGTAATATTATATCTTACAAGCAGTGGTAGTGTTCTATGCTGTCATTGTCTCAGTTTTATAATTAGCTCGTGCTGTGTTTTTTACACTTGAAGAACGGCCTCTGAGCCCATAATTTCTTTCCTCATCCTAGTAAACTGTATTTTGAACCAATTGACCTGCAAGTACAAACAAACCAAACTTTTTAATGAAAGTAGAAACATGTTAAATAACTCCTCTACATTTTCTTCCTCCAGTCTCCTTCCTGATTCTACTGTGAAAATGTATAACATTACATTATGATGCAAATGAGTGCTTTCTTTCTTTATAACACTAAAGCACCTTGGAGAACAGAAGTTTCTGCATTTTAAAAATTATTATTTTGTGGCATTTTCAATATTATTTACTATTATTAAGTGGCTTTTCATTAGTTAAATTTCCTTAGCATCAGTTTTCAACATCATGCCAAGACCTTCTCACATCAGTGGCCAAGGTGATTCAAACCAAAACATCAGATTACTGAGTGGTGCATTAAAGCACATACAACTAATTAATTCCCAATTGGACATGAATTATATTCTAAAAGTATAACTTTTCCATCAGATCCATAAATAGTTATCAATTACAGCTAACTATAATAATGATACATTTCTAGTCCAAGTGATCTTGGACATGGTGGGAATACAGCACCAAATACAGCTTACTTAGAAATAAGCTTAGCAATCCTGAATAGGATTGCAGCTTGATGTACTAAGTTCAAACGCACACAAAACCCCCAACTAAACAAACAAAAAACCCAAGAAAGAATACTATCCTGAGACTGAATGGCCGTACAGACAAATTCTTTTGTTCTACCAAAGAAAGAAAAGTACTTGCCACCTTTTAATGAAATATTTCTGTCCATCAGTAGATACTGTAGTGGCCTTTTCGTGCTCCCACAGATATTAAAAGACCACTTAAGAACGCTTATGTCCGCTGCTCCTAAAGTCATTTTTTTTTCAAGCTGATATTACTCAAAGGTCTATGACTCTGCATCAATAACAGGATGACAACGTAAGTACTCAAAATCCATGGCAATGATTCATAAATTCACTTTCAGAGAGCCATGTCATAACATTTAAATTCAAGATGAATTGAAGCCTTAAAAATCTGAACACTAATTCTTCAGAAAGCAAAACAAAAGAATAATTCACAAATCTGTGCCTGTAGCACAGTATGCCATATAGTCTACTATATATGCAGTTTTGAAAAGTAATCAGAGTTGGCTTACTACTTCACCCGCTGAAATAAGAGGCGAAACACTTTTCAATTTCAATAAAAGCTGAATTACTCTGCTGCAGAGATCAGTTTAAAGAATTGTAATAAATCCAGCTCAGGAGATGCTTTCACAAAAGTAGTTATCAGACACTGGCACTATGCACATAGGGTAGCAAGCACTATCCCAAACCAAAGGGGAAGACTGAAAGACAATGCACCAAAGAGTCCTTCCTTCTTATTCTTTCACTGGAGACGCCTCACCTCTTCAACAGCTGCCAGGCAACACAGAAAGCAAAACATGAACCATAACCCGCTTCTTTGGGACTGTGCACTCCAGGACTGTGCCTTCCCTTATCCCTATCATGATGAGGGACAGCCAAGCCTTTCAACGTGTTCTCCACCACAGTTTCCTTGGCACAATTCCAGGAAAAAATTTACTTACTATCAAGTCTGAGTAATCACAAGGCCACCCAAAGGCTACCTACATTTAAGCTTTGTTCTTCCCTGCCAGCCTTTCCCTCTTTGCATGGCCATGGTATTTGGAGCATCACCTGCCAGTGGCACCATGATGAAACACTCAGAAGCCACTCCCTACCCTGACATCCCACTTCTGATGAGTCAGTCTGGGTGGAAAGGACTGTGATGGAGAGGGGAAGGGACAGGCACAAAAAGCTAGAGGGATGCTTCACCTCAGCCTCACTGACTCCTGAGGTTTTTGTGTATGACAGCTGTTTGTGAGAAGGACACACTCTAACACAGTAGTAAGCCATCAACATAACAACTCATTTTCTAAATAGAGCACAAATGCATAGGAAGTGCTGGTGTTACAGTTTTTGTAGTTATCTGGATTTAGTTCACAGACCAAAGTGGTCTGTGGGGATTTATGGTAATAAATTCTCCTTGGAAAAGAAAACCACACAGAGATTTAATCAGGAAATAATAACCAAGAACTTGAAATTAGTCTTGGAAAAACAGGTACATTAAGAATCCCAGTTGCAATAAAGGAAGACAATGTGCTTTCAAAACTGAAAATAAAAAATAAACTTTTCGCTCAATTTATAGAGAATCTCTTCCCCTCCATGTCTGCCAGCATCTCAGAACTCATGCACTATTGAGAATAATAACTATCTCACATTTGCATCCACTGTTTTGGTAATTTGTATCTATTTCTTGACAATTATATTCTTGGACGCAGGGCTTTACTCCAAACTGCAATACTCTGATAATATCACATTCTTCCAGGGCCCAGGTGGTCAACCAAGGAAAAACAGAAAAGGGTCACACAATCTCAAAGTTTCTAGTTCTCAAGGATTGTTATGCCCTCTTGATACAGCACAAACAAGCAAGGCAAAGGAGGATAGCTAAAGGATAGCTAAAGGAGGTCCTCCACAGCACTTGAGACAACCAGCCCCCAAACATGATTGAGTTTCTCAGAGTTAGTACAATGAAATCTACTAATTACTTATTACTTGCATCACTATAATTCCTAGGAAGATTAGTCACAGAAAGGAATGCCTTTGTGTGAGGGACTGTATAAACACAGAGGAGAGCACAATCACTGATACTGCTGCAACTGCCATCAAAAGGACAGCCGTTATCAGTGGACAGGATGATGTATATTCTAGTGTAGCTAGGACCGAACATTTTTACCATACTGCCAGAGAAACCTTCTCAAGTTTATTATGTTAATTAAGATCTCCTCAGATTCTTCTCTATTAGGACCTTAAGCATCAGAGCTGTGCTACTGCAAGTGGTTGCTGTAACAGAACAGCAGCTTTCCAGGAGGAACGTCATTCTCATTAGGGCTAGCTACAAACTTCAGACAAGCTGCTTGAAAAAACCCAATACAAATCTGGCAGCACTGACTACCAGAGTCTGAGGCACACTTTCTTACATGCTGTCAATCGCGACAGCATCCCTGCCCAGTAGCAAAAGGCTCCTGCAAACCCTGATCCATGGCACCTTTTACTCACAATGCTACCCTGCTTATAATAACTTACACTTCACAATGCTTATAACTTCGGACTTTACAGGAGTGCAGCCACAGTTGCTAACACTGCAGTGTCGGCAATGATGAGACCTTCAGTGCATGCAGGACATGAGAAAACACCAAGGGTCTCCATGCGAGCTGGCGGCAATGCGAAGGCAGAGGCACGGAGGCACGGACACCTGCCCTGCTCCGGTGCCCTCGCTGTGACCGCCACTCGCGGGGCAGTGCGGGCGGGCGGCCACCACACGCTGCCCGGCCAACGGCCCGGGGGCACCTACCGCCACCCTTATCGCAACCACGGCTCACCCCACACACCTCGCAGCTAAAGCGTGAGCAGCTTCAACTGGGGCCAAAAGCGAACCAGAGAAGGAGAACACAGCTGAAAGCCATGACTTTCAAGTCTATTAAGTTTAAGAGGCCGGAGTTGCTAGCAACATACAGGCCAGCAGATGAACATAGCTGTCACCTCACCAAGCACTACACGTCTGGTTTCGTGCCAACGGGGCCACTGCCTGAATGACGGGAAGACCCGGGCGGGACACTCCTCGGCATCGGAGCCACGGACCTCGGTGGGGCAGCCCCGCATCACTCTGGCCGGCGCTCCCGGCCGACCTCGGCTTCCCGCCCGCACCGCTCCCGCCCCCCTTCACCGCTCCACTCCGCTCCCGCCGCCAGAGGGGCGGCCAGCGGGCAGGCTCTCCGCTCCATAACCTCCCTCCGTGGGTACCTATCTCCGGTTATTCACGAGCGGGATGACAAATCTCCGGGACGGGTGTCTGTCCCGTCCTCCCAGACAGCGCTGCGTCCTCATCTCGACGGCGGACCGGCCGGCGTGGTGAGTAACCGCGAAATGACTGCACCACAAGAGGGTTTGTTTTGCTTTCCCTTCTTCTCCGCCCTCCGCGCTCTGGCACGGAGGCCGTGAGCCGCCGACTCACCCTGTCCCCGCCCGGGCGGGCGGTGCGGGGCTCGGGGCAGCTCCGGCCAGCGGGGCAGCGGAGAGGCCGCGCCGCCCCGCACGCCCCCACCCGCGGGCAGCGGAGCCGCCGCTCGCCCCGGGCCACTCACCTCCCGGCGGCAGCGCAGCTCCCGCGCAGCCCGGGCGGCCGTGCCCGCGGCTGTCATGTGCCCGCCGGCCCCGCTTAACCCTTGGCGCGGCGCTGCCTCCGCCGCGCGGGGGGGCGGCGAGTCCCGCCACCAGCGCCCCCCTCCGTACCGCCTTGCACCGCGGGGACGAGGTGGTTTGCGGACGGGGCACGGCTTTCCAGAGGCGCGGGGGGCCTGGGGGTCGCGCAGGGGGGGCTTGACGAGTTGGCTCTGTAGGGGCTGGAAGATGCCTAGGGGGAAGCTGGGTGGGGCTGCAAAGGCGCTGGGGGGAATGGGGGTCCGAAGGGCGCCCAGAGGCCGGAGGTGTTTGGAGGACGCCGTAAGGGCGCTGAGGGGAATGTGTCTGTCTGTGTGCGTATGTGGGTCTCTGCGTGCGTGTCTGTGACGGGACTGGGGGAGCAGCGGGGCCGCACGGAGGATGGAGGGGGATGTTTAGGAGCTCTTTAGGGGCTGCAGCCTAGCTGGAAGGTGATCTGGGGGCTCCACACGGGCTTTAAAGCGACAGCGTGGGGGATTGCAGGGAAACTATGAGGGGACCTGAATGGGACCTCTGTAGAGCGTACGATAAAATGTAGGGCAGAGTAGCAGTACAGGGGAACAAGGGGAACAGGACCTCGGAAGTGGAAAGGGGATGAAGGGGCTCTATGCCTAGTGGCACTTCCCTGAGCACATCTTAGAAAACTGTGGTGTAAATGCAGATTTTCTCGATTATAGGGAGATTTGTATATACCAGAGGACTATCAAATGTGATAAAGCTGGAAAGAATATATTTGGGCAGATCTGCTGCTGCCATCCACTCACCCAGAAAGACACAGGAACATATTGGCCTCAGGCTGATGATGAGCCTCTTGCAGAAACAATTGTGGTCAAGAGGTACATACCACAAAGAGCACCCATTTCGCTGGAGAAGACTCCTACACACTCAGGGCATGGCCCAGCAGTTGAAACATACTGGTTGTTTCAGTTTGGGTCAGTTTTATTCCACTCCACTGTAACCGGGGAATTGAGAGTGTAAATGAGGTGACGATGAAGGTGAATAAAGCAGGTGAAAAGCCAGGCTAAGAGCAGCAAATTGCCCTATTCCTCTACCGGCATGACCATGCAGACTTCATGGCAGGGCACCCTGTCAGCAGGGAAGTCTCCAACCAAGGGAGCCTACTAGTATGCATGGGCACTCAAAGACTGCAAGAGTGTGGCAGGTTCAGGCCTTTCATGGCAAGCATGATCAGCCCAGCATTTAAAAAAGTTGTTAATCCCAGTTGTCCAAGAACGACAATGGCACTGTGGCTGTTCTCCAAGCTTCTTGCAAGGTGAAGGGGAGCCTGTATCCTTGCTGTGCTGCAACACCTGTTAGGAGGAGGGTTGAGGACTGGGCAGAGCGTCTTGGTATGCCCAGATCACTGTGCTCCTCAAGGCTAGCCTCGATCCTTAGCCGAATAAACTCTTCTGAGCTATAGCTCCTTTGCCATTCACTCGTATTACATCAAATAAATGTGATTGTGAAGTTCATAAGAAGCCGATATTGTATGTTCTTTACATACCCAGAAAACAGCAGAGATGTTGAGGCTTCAGGCTTTTTTGTAAGGTTACATTGCTTTCCAGTCTTTTTCTTTGTAAGTACGCTTAGGCAGTGAGTCACTTGTAAATAAATTTACTATGTATAGCACATTTAAAACAGAAGTAAGCACATTTAAAACAGAAGTCTTTGTAAGCTGTATCTCACTTAAAAATCATATTAAGAGAACTGACAACTGAAGTGATCTTTACCACAAGCACAGAATTTACTTGAGAGCCCAATGAAGTTTTTGTTTACAGTCTCTTTATTGGTATCATATGCCAGAATTTTCTATGCAATTATAATTTAATCAGAACTCATCACTAAAAAGTTCAAGGACTCTGCCTGGACTGACATGATAGACATAGTAATTGAAAATGAGTAATACAGTTTCAGGCAACAAAAAAGTGCATATATTGTCAAAGTGCTCTTTGTAATTCAAATCTACCAAATAAATTGTGAGTTTACTTTAAAGAAATTGCTTTCAATAAATACCAATGTTATCAGAAACCAAATCTTACAGCCATTAAAAAAATCTGTTTGCTTTATTTTGTCATTTTTACGTATGGGAAGTAAATTGCCTTTTCTAGTTTTTCAACTGAAAAAAGTGATGGATCCTAGCAATGTACCACCTTGGGAAACACATGATTTAAAACACACGGTAAAGGCAACCTTTACACACAGGGTAAGTTTTTGCTGTCATGGGTGCCTGCTGAGCAGTCTTGAGCAGGAAGCAAAGAGGACAATCATATTAACAAAGTTAACATTAGACACTGCAACTCATATCTAAAGATAATTCTTAATTTTTGATGTGCTGAAGAAGCAATTGAAGTTTATGCAAAATATGCCAGGATATGTATTAATATCAAAATATTAAAAGTATTGAAAATAAGTACATTCAAAGTTTTCTTGGTAGGTAACACCACTGCATGTCCGTATCTGTCATACACCGTTGCATGTTCATGCCCATACTCATGTCTCACACAAAACATCCTGATTCAAAAAAGGCTATGCCTTAGTCCTTTCAAAAAGCATGTATCTAATGGAAGTAGTGGACTAGGGAAACTTCAGTAAAGTTCACTGTGTCAGAATCCATGGCAACATCTGTGCACTTCTTCTGTCATATGTCCAAGCCCTGAGTGTAAAAATTTATTTTTGTAACCTCAGTCCCAGTTCAATTTTCTTAGTTCAGTAAAAACTTTTAGTTACCTCTCAAGGAAATGTATAGTTAAACCCTATATGAGGCTACAGGTAAGTTAAATTAAGCCTTCAGTTTACAAACTGTCAAACTCAGAAGCATTTTCCCACCTTTTTTTTTTTTTTTTAGAAAAAGATGTGCTCTTTTTCTTCTTTTTCTCTGTCCCAAAGTCTGTTGCAATAACACTATGTCCATCAGTTCTTGTGAAGTGTCTTCCTAGCCTAATTCTGGTTGTATTATGCCATTAGGTTTGTTGTCCTAAGGAGTGTTATTCCCAGGCATGCAGGAAAAGACACTTGCTCATATAAATATTCATCTCCTTTGTCCTAGAGAAAGACCATTTTTATGAGGGAGCCCTGACAGGAGATGGTCAGTGGCTAAAGCCGCCTGAAAAGGGCTCATTCAATGGGGAGAAAGAAATTACCTGAAGAGGAGACTATTTATTTTGTTTGCTGGTATTTTTGGAGGCTTTTTTGAGTAAGGGAATGTCATGGTTTAACCCCAGCCAGCAACCAAGCCCCAAACAGCCGCTCACTCGCTCCCCCACCAGCAGGATCGGGGGGTGGGGGTGGGGGGAGAATTGGAAGGGTAAAAGCTAGAGAACTTGTGGGTGAAGACACATACAGTTTAATAGAGAAAGCAAAAGCTGCCCATACAAGCAGAGCAAAACATGGAATTAATTCACAGCTTCCCATGGGCACACAAGTGTTCAGCCATCTCCAAATCTCCCCCTTCCTCCTTCTTCCCCCCAGCTTTTTATGCTGACCATGATGTCATTGGTCTGGAATATCCCTTCAGTCAGTTTGGGTCATCTGTCCCAGCTTTGTCTCCTCCCAACCTCCCATGCACCCGCAAATCCCTCACCAGTGTGGCAGTAGGGAAAGGCCTTGGCTCTGTGCAATCACTCCTCAGCAATAACAAAAACATCTCTGAATTATCATTTGTGTTCAACACAAATCCAAAACATAGCCTCATACTAGCCACTGTAAAGAAAATTAACAAGGAATGTGACAATCTGAGGATATAGCTGGTTTAACTTTCCTTCATCTCTTTCTTCTGTATACCAGTAACAGCAGAACTGAGTTTTTAGGAGACAAAACTAGGTAGAAAGACTGTAAGACAAATTATTTTTGTTGCATTTCTGTAGCAAAACTGAAAATATATTTTGACCCCAACACCTTGGAAACAGTGGCAGTCAATTTAACTGGAGGACATAGAATCTCAAGAGTACCTGGAATACACTGATACTTGGTTAGAGAACACTAAAAGAACTGGAAGGGATTGTCTCTAGATGCCTCAGACATACTGACTAGAATGGAACCCAAGTCTGAACATTCACTTCTCAGATGCAAACAGATATGCAGAAGCTTTTTCAAAATGTTTTTTTGTGGCAACTGATTAAAAAAAAAAAATTCTTGTTAACTGAGCATTTTGGTCTAATTCTTTAATTTTTCCTCAGATCTTCCATTTCATATCTGTTCTATTTTCCTAGTTACTGTGTAACTGAGAATAATATTTTTGGTAGTTAAGGTGATAAGACAAAAATGAAAGTAATCACTGGAATTCCATCTTGAATAACATAATGTATAACAGGTATCTTTTACTGACACCAATATATTTGAATATCATAGAATTGGATTTTCCTGGTTTAGCAGCAAAAGCAAGTCTTGCACCTCTCCCATCTCAGCTTAGACTGACTCCTTGGCAAGAAGGAGCTCTGCAAGGGTGTGATCCCATCATCCATGGCCCAGCATCTCAGGGCTGATACCTCTTTCTGTTTAGTAGAACAAATTGGGTATTATGGCATGAATTCTGGGGCCAGATCCTTTTTTTTTTCATCTTTCCAATGACAGGTCACAGGTTGCATTTACCTGCTCATCATATGAGATCGAGGAGGGCTGTCTGATATTATCATGTCACATCAGGGCCACAGAGCTTTGTTTTCTGTCTAATTCAATTTCCCATTTATATATCC